TAATATATATATTTAACTTATTTGAGCAGAGTACTATGTACTCCAGATTTCATCAATAATAAAAATTCTGAAAATTAAACATTGTTTGATATAACAGATATCTAATGAGCATCTTTTAATTACTTTTATGGGTTAATAATTGAAATTTTAAATCTGAACCATGAAATTGAATCATGACAGTTTAATTTTTATTTGGTACTTATTTTCCTCTTTCTGTGTTCTAGCCCATATCTGCCTCAGCTGCTTATATTTTGGGTGAAATATGTCGAGATAAAAATGATGCTGTTTTGCCCCTTGTACGACTGCTGCTGCACCATGATAAACTGGTTCCTTTTGCCACTGCAGTGGCTGAATTAGACTTGAAGGATACACAGTAAGAGTGATCTCTTAGTGAATGTTAATTATGCGCTATTTGGGTTTGAGCTTGCCAAATTGCTTTGTAATCTGAATTCTTTAGTATTGAGCAAGGCTTACTGTACAGTAGGCTGAAAAGAACTATTTAGCAGGTAGGTGATAAAAGGCAGTTCTTGAAGATACAAACAAACAGTATTGCCAGCAGTAAAGATAATAATTAATGCGTGATTTTTTTTTTTTAAAAACTCAGTGAAGACATTTTCATTGTTTCTAACCTTTTCTTATTATAGTGATTCCAGTGTCATATATAAAACAACAGGGCAAGCAGGTTTTTTTCCTGTGCTTTTCCAAAATGTTACCATTCTTATATGTATATGTGTGACATTAAAAGCAATCGAGTGGCTTTCTACTCCCATCACAGTCCAAGACAGTTATTTATACATACCAAACCAAGTCTCTTATAGTCGAAAAATTCTGATTCATGTTGACCCCACATGTTTCAGAATAGAACTGAGCTTCATTGAGTTTTCACTGAATGTAACCTTACCAAAGTAGATTGTCAGGACTTTGCTTCTACAGTACCACTGGGTGGATTTGAACTGCCAACTTTTTGGGTATTCATTGACGCACATACATACATATGCTTTATTATTATAGCTTATAACCATCCTATCTGTTTAATCAGTTTTCTTATTTTTAAACTTACTTTCCTATTTATTTGGTGTTTGAAAATCTAGTGATGTGGTTTAAGTGGATGATTAAAATTACTAAAACTGTAAATATAACCAAAGTAAAATCTCATATTATTGGTTTCACAACCTTTGTATACTATTGTTGGTTTCACTGTATTTATGTTTATGTTTCAGAGAGGCAAACACAATTTTTAGAGGAAATTCCTTGGCTACCCGATGTCTGGATGAGATGATGAAAATTGTGGGAGGGCACTACCTGAAAGTAACATTAAAACCTATTCTAGATGAGGTATATACAGAATATACTTCTGATGATGATAGTTTGTGGCCTTAGACTATTTCTTTAAACAAACGATCTGTTCATGAGAATTACATATGCATTCATGTATTGCTAAAAGAATAAGGATGAACACTGTAGAAGTGAAATAAATGTCTGCTTTTCTGTCAACAGATTTTTACTTGCATACTGTAGTGATAGTGTGCATCATTTTTTTCTTGGTTACTGGATTTATGTGCCAGACTTATGTAGTATTTTTATAGTGTTGATTCATAGTTTTAATACTTACAAAAATCTTTATTATTACTTGAAGAATAATCAAATTGTTTAAGAAAAAGCACTAAGTGAACATTTTAATAATTTTCAGATATGTGAAACATCAAAGTCCTGTGAAATTGATCCTATTAAATTGAAAGAAGGAGATAATGTTGAAACAAATAAGGTATGTGTTGTTGTATTTATAATTGCATTGAAGAATGCTCTCAGTGTGCTGTTTCCCACTTATCCTGTAATATACTACATGGAGGGAAGCAGTGCTTTACTTTTTACTTAAAGCCTTTAGTATTAATGGCAGCATTTGCTACAACTAGTTTTTAGAATGTTGGTATTTCTTCATTCAGTTTCTTTTATATTATGGTCTTTTGTATGATCTTTATTCTGGTTCTTATTAAAATAGTTGATTATCTAGTCTCAGCTCTCATTCTGGCCATTGTTTTGGGAACAAATTGATCAGACTAAGTACACAATGATTTGGTCAATTAATACTTTTAATTGCCCAGGGAAACCAATGAGTATGTTAGGGTCACAGGTTTGTATTCATTACAGTAGACAATATTACCATCCTGTCTACGTGCTGGGCTCTACAAGTTCTTACCCTGACTTTCCTAGTTCACACATGAATGGGTTTGCCCACGAAAATGTCTCTGCAATCAGTGGATGGCTACAGACAAGTTCTCTCAGTAATGCACTTAGTTTCATTAGGGTGCCTTCAAAAATGTTACGTTTTGTGCTATGGAGAAAAAAATGTTTTTGATCATTCTAAAGACCAGTCTTACTAGTCAGAAAGAGACTTGAAGAACCCCCATGAGTATGGCCCTTGGTCATCCTTCAAGTGTGAAACTGAACTCCCCCTTGTAGGCCAGTTTCAACAGTTTTTAGACTTAATCCTTGTACAATTAAGTAAGAAAATAAATTGTTCTTTAAATGAATGAGTTTGTAGAATACATGACTTTAGAGAATACTAGATAGAAATTTTCTAATAAACTTAATATCATTGCATTTTTCCCCCATAAAGGCTGCTTTTATAAAGTCGACATCTTAATGTTTATTTGCCTTCTTAAATCCTACAGGAGAATCTGCGCTACTTTGTAGATAAGCTATTCAGTACAATTGTAAAATCCAGTATGAGCTGCCCCACTGTAATGTGTGATGTCTTTTATTCTTTAAGGCAAATGGCTACTCAACGATTTCCTAGTAAGTGCCTTGTTTTGCTAAAACTTGCCATTTCTTTGTCCATGTTTGATTTTTTTTTTTTCTAAATGTCTATTATGCATTTGGTTTGTGTGAAATGTTTAAAGTGTAAGTGCAGTCTGGTTTTTCAAAGGGTTCTAGCCTTTTTATTGAACACCTGATTTGTTTTCCTTGTACTTTCAAAACAAATAGTTTATTTCAACCCTTGGCAACTCCATGTCAGGAATAGGTCAGATTACCATTATTTTTAAGAAAGGTAAAAATTTGGAATTATAATGTTACATCGGTAAACATTTGTGCCAGGTGTTTATGAGATTGGTAAATAAAAGTATCTTCATTATTTGTACCCACCTGCCTTTTCTCTACTATTCATTTATTCAAATAGCCAAATTTTTAAAATTCTATATAGGTGAGAGGTTTTTTGCAGAAGTGATTGTAGACATTGGAAGCATCTCTAATGCAGCATACATATAATTTTGAGGTACATATATCACTAGCCTGGAATTCTGGTGTGGCACTGTAGGATAAGCACTGGAATGCAAATGACAAAGTCAGCAGTTCAAACCCACCAGCTGCTCCTCAGAAACCCTAGACAGGGTCACTATGAGTCAGAACCGACTCAACGGCATTTAACAACAACAACATGTCATTGACTGTTGTTGTTAAGTGCTGTCAAGTTGGTTCCCACCCATACAACCCTGTGTAGGGCTTTGGCTGGTGAACTTGAGCCACTGACCTTATGGTTCAAACCAGCTTTGCAGTCTAGCTCTTTTTATGCTTTAACTTCATGAGAGTAGCTACATCAAAGCTTTGGTTGGGAATACTTTGTAAAATTAATAGTTGCTATTAATTTTATAAAGTTTATTTACATATCACAAATGTATAAAAAAATACTTTTTTTATACATTTGTGATATGTAAATAAACTTTCCAGATCTGTCTCAGTGGAGTGGATAGGGTGAGGTTAAGGGGTGTCAGGCAGCTACCTAAGTTATCCATCAACCCAGATGTATGAAACTATTGTGGGACCATCTAAAGAGATTTTGCTGTTTTATAGTGTTCTTTTAAGTGTGTGTGGGCACATATACATCTGCATGTGCACCCATAATTCCCCGTCTGGTAAATTTATTCAATACTGAAGTAGTGGGACTGAGTTGCTTAACTTAGGTGTAGATAAATTTAGACTTAGATGTTTTTGTTAATTATAGCAAAAGACATAGGCAGTTAATTTCAAATCAGTCTACTCAATTTGGTCTTGGTAACAAAATTAAAGAGGAGTAGAGACATCAAGTGGAAAGATGAAGTGCTGATTGAGATTATATTTTTTTAAAGTGACAACTACATTGAGTGCTTAGTGAGTGAGCAGGCCCATTGCTAGTCTGTAGGTAGATAATGAAACTAAGGTTTATACAAGTTGGATACCTTGTCCATGGCATGGCCAACAGGCAAGCACAACCTTAAACCTAGATCTGTTCTCCAAAGCATATGCTGCTACTAATCACTGTAGCCTACCCAGTGATCTTGGTCTTAAATATGCGCTATAGTCTCATTTATAGAAATGATCTAAAACTTGTTTTACGACTTTTTCTTGAATACAGATATACCTCAGCTGTTATTCATTGACTTAAATATAAATATGCCTTCCTATCCTCAGCAGACTACATATTGGTAGTTTTGTTGCCATAGGTATTTTCATATTCTCTCATTGTTCTTCCTTCCTGCCCTGAAGAAGAAAGCTAGGAAGGGGAGGCAGCAGGTGGGAAGCAAGTCTTATTAGACATACAGGTTCAATGACTTGTCAGTGGTTTCCGTATGAGTGACTTCTAAGTGTTCAAACCAAATCCAGGTATTCTTTTCCTCGTTAACTGCTCCTCCACCATCTGACTTTTGTCTCTCTCTGAAATGAAAGCAATAGGTGAGTATTCAGAGGCAGAAGTATTATACACATCAACATTTTTATATGGAATATTGATAGCTTTTTTCAAGTAATGATTTTTATTAATGGTTTTTATTATACAGTCTTTACTCTTATTGGGAACTTTGATAGACAAGTTGAAATAATATCCTAAAACTGAAAGCACTGTCTTTAGGGATTCAGTACTACCACTAGGTAGTGCTAGATACTTTTGATTCTGTGATAATTTAAAAAATCTTTTTTTATAGACGAGGAAAAGTATTTTTCGTATTAAAATATAAAGTATCAGCTTTGTCTTTCATCTTTGTTTCCATTTTTTAGTCATAGGATTTCTTTAATTTAGTCATAATCATTACTATCATTTCATCAACTTAATCCTTACAAAATTACAAATTATATTATTCTTTAATTTCATTTTCATGAGTTTTCAGTATTTTTACTTTGTCATCTGCTCTTTAATTCAGTGTTTTTGTGCATGACATTTCACCGTTTTCTTTCCTGCAGATGACCCTCATGTTCAGTATTCTGCAGTGAGCAGCTTTGTATTTCTTCGTTTCTTTGCTGTAGCCGTAGTATCACCTCATACTTTTCATTTGCGACCTCATCATCCAGTAAGTGTTTGCTTTTCTTAAAGCTGTATTCCATTTTTATTTATTTTTATTAGAATGCAAAAGAGATAAAATAGCAAGCTAATTTCACTTGGCTTTGTTTTCTTATAATTGTAAAATTTACTGGGTATTTTCTTTCTTGGTCATTTCAGTCTATAAGGTAAAGCTGAAAATTCTTTTTTTATCTTTTGTTGTTAAAAGATAATTCCACGGAGTGCCATGGTGATGGGTACAAAGGGGATTCCTTATGTATTTACCTCTGCTGTTGAGTGTGGTATGGTTGTCAATTTCCATAATATAAGGGTTTAGTGTTGTTTTTTTAAGTAGCTACAGGTTTAGTTTTTGTTTTTTAATAGAACCAACTTTAGTATATTAAAATAACTTAATCTTACATATATGTTTAAATCATGAAAATGTTAGGGGATTCATTGCTGAGAGGTATAGAAACTTGTACTGGAACAATAATTTGTTTGGTATCTCTATGTTTTTACTTTTGTTCCCTTAATGTGATATTGGAAGGTATGCTGGTGGCATAGTAGGTTATGTGTTGGTCTGTGTTAACCACAAGATTGGTGGTTCAGACTCATTATAGAAGAAAGATGAAGACATCTGCTCCTATAAAGATTTATAGTCTCAAAAACCCGAAGAAGCAGTTCTCTGCCCGGGGATAGGGTTGCTATGAGTTGGAATCGACTTGATGGCAGGGGGTGTTTTTTTTAATGAAATATTATAAATATATGAGATTTAAGTTTTTTAAGCATATAATACTTTTGTTATGAAGCCTTACTTAATTACTAAATTGAAATCTGTACTTAAGATATGTAAGCGTATGCTTACTTATCTTAACATTTAAAAATTATTATTTTTACTGTTTTTGTTTCCTTTTCATGCAGTATATTATTGCTGACTCTTTTATTTTTTGTTCCAATTATTTATAATCATATTTCATTACTCCCAGTTGCAGATTTATACAAGAAATAATAATGTTGTTGTTAAGTGCCATTGAGTTGCTTCTGACCCATAGTGACCCCTATATAGAGTTTCCGAGGAGCAGCCGGTGAGCTTTAACTGCCAATCTTGTAATTCAAACGGTTTTGCAGTCTGGCGCATTAACCCACAGCGCCACACCAGGAATAATAATAGACAACAGTTATTTAATGTTTACCTAGAACCAGATCTTTTTCTGACTTCTTCATTTGTATGCTGGTAAATCTATTCCAAATCATGGTGACTCTATAGAACAGAATAGAATTGCCTGATAATATTGAATCTTTATGGGAGCCAATCATCATCTTTAATCCTGTGGTGTTGCTGGTGGGTTCAAACCGAACACTTAACCACTGTACTAGCAGGGCTCCTTTTGTTCTATCTGTTGTTATTATGTGCCATTGCATGGGTTTCAACTCATAATGACTCTGTATAGAGTTTCCAAGGAGTGACTTGAACTACTGCCCTTGAGGGTATCCTAAAACATCACACTAGGACTTCTTGTTCTAAATAGGCCTTGTTTATATGTTTTAACTCCCAGAAGCCTATGAGGTAAATTCTGTTACCGTCCCCATTTACAGATTGTTGTTGTTGTTGTTGTTGTGAAGTGTCGTGGAGTCGGTTCTGACTCATAGCGGCCCTGCACAGGGTTTCCGAGGCTGTAAATCTTTACGGGAGCAGAACGCTTTATCTTTCTCCTGCGGAACCGCTGGTAGTTTCGAACTGCTGACCTTGCGGTTCACAGCCCGATTCATAACCACTACGCTACTTCTTTGAGAACAATATCTGTGTCTTTTTCAAGTTTGGCTATCCCTAGCAGTTTCTAGGGCAAGTAGATGGTCACTAGTATTTGATGAACTAAAGATAATAGTAGCTCAAAGAGCCAGTCAAAATGAGTAGTCTTTTCTGAGGTATGAAAACTAAACGCATGCTTTTAATAGAGGAGGAAGAAACCAGCAGAAAGGGGGAAATTAGAGAAGAATACTTACCAATGTTGTTGTTAATTGCCATTGAGTCCATTCCGACCTGTAGCAACCCTGCATAGGGTTTCTGAGGATGGTGAGCTTGAATTGCCAACACTGCAGTTTAAAATGACTTTGCAGTCCAACATCTTAACCCACAGTGCCACTTACCAATACCAGGTCATGTTTTGGAGGATCCATAAAGATTGTCTTTAGGGACTTCCGGTTTGGGCGATAGCAGTGAAAACCAGGTAGGGAATGCTCCGTTGTGAAAAGACGTGCATCCCACTAAGGAAGCACTCATAGAACAATTCCAGTGCTCTGGATCTACCATAAGATCCAGGATGTCAGTTTCCCCCACTCGCAAGTGAAAAAAATCACAATAACAAGGAAATACTGCAAGTTAGGAATCTAGAGACTGGACTTCCTTAGCAGCCATGCTGCCCTGGCAGAATTTAGAGGGTGGGGCTACAGCCAGTCCGGCTCAGAAAACTGGCAGCGCTCAAAGCAGTGCAGAGACATTTACAAAAAAAGAGGCGTGGGAGACTACACATTTCTCCCTCTTTCTCCTGGTGGCGCTTTCATTGCTCAGCCCGGACAACATCAGTTGGGACAGTTTTCCTACAGTACAGAGAGAGGGAGCTTGGCGGAGACTTATGATGTCACCTGTAGAGACACAGCCCTAAAATTTTATCCAGCAAGATCCTTGGCAAAGGTGCACCTTGGAGTTGATTCTGGACTGGGAGTGGGGTTTCCGGGGCTGCGAATCTGTGGGGGAGCAGAGCACCTCACTTTTCTCCCGCGGTGCAGCTGATGGTTTCGAGCTGCTGACCTTGGCGGTTTGCAGCCACTGCACTACCTGAGCTCCCTGCGCAGGACCCATATAAAGCAATCTGTAAAACCCCAACATGAAAGGACCCAACCATCCCAAGAACTGTGCTGTGTACATGCAGATATCTAGCTGACCTTCAGAGACAAAAATAGTGGCCAATCTCTCTCCCGTTAACTGCTCAATATCTACCTGCGGACCTCTACTGTAGTGCCTGAGAGAGTGAACACCCTCACCTACTGCTGGAGGCTTCTACCTTGCACACATACTGCCTGTGTAGTTCAGGTCAGTTGACCACAGCTTCATTTCTATTCCAAAGTAAGTGGTGGTTTTTGTCTCTGCATTTATATTACTTCTGCTTTTGGTCCTTTTGACCACACATCTTTCCTGGAGGTGGGAGCCTTTTCTCCCAACATTACCCAAGAAGAGACAGCAATTATGGCCATATAGCCAAGCTATAAGCATATCCCATAATATTCCACCACTGAGACAAGAGCCAACAACACCTGCTAAGCAGTACATGTTAAAAGGGAAGCCTATCTCCCGATCATATTCACCAGGAGACTTAACACCAGTAAACTTAACACTAAAGAATAAACATTCACTTAAGCTTTAAAAAAAACACACATAACTATCGGAAATGACGAACAAAAAAGAACAAATGATATAGAAACATGTCCAAAAACAGAAGAGAGTAGCTGAGACAAATGAGCTGGAGACAAAGGCTTTCTAGAAGAGGAAGAGCAGGTTTTGGATATGCCTGAGAAAGAATTCAGGAGAATGATAGGGAAGCAAATTCAAATGCTCCGAAAAGGGGTGGAAGAAAACAAGGAAGAAGTTAGGAAAGTTGTACAGGAGCAATCAAATAATATTGATACAGCATTGAAAACCATTCAAAACCTGCAAAAAGATGTCCAGATGAATTAATAATAAGATATCAGAAATGGACAATACACTGACAGGGGAAAGGAGCAGAATTGAAGACATAGAAGCCAGAACTAGCAAGCTGGAAGACAAATCTCTCAGTACTGCTAAGATAGAAGAACAAGCATAAAAAGGATATAAAAAATCTGAAGAGAGTCTAAGATTCATGCTGGATAACATGAAGAGGAACATCTTAAGAATCATTGGCATTCAGAACAGGAAGAATCAGAGAAGTCCACAGAGGAGATAGTTGAAGAGCTTCTGGAAGAAAATTTCCCTAACATCTTGAAAGATGAAAAGATAAACATTCAAGAAGCCCTACGTACCCCAGGAAGGATAGACCGCCAAAAGAAAGTCACCAAGACATATAATAATCAAGCTCTCCAAAATCAAAGACAAGGAGAGAATACTAAAAGCGGCCAGGGAGTAGAGAAATGTCACTTATAAAGGCAAGCAAATCAGATGAAGCTCTGACTATTCAGAGCAAACCATACAGGCAATGGGGAGACATATACAAAGCCCTACAAGAAAAAAATGTTAACTAAGAATTGTCTATCTAGCAAAACTATCATCAAATATGATGGTGTGATCAAGACATTCCGTGATAAACAGAATCTGAGAGATTTTATCAAAACTAACCCAGCACTTCAGAATATCCTAAATGGAGTTCTGTGGACTGAAAACCAACAGGAACACACAACAGAGATTGACAGGTATGACAACACCACCTGGCACTCAGTCAACAGACAGCAGAATCCAGAACAAAACAAGACTACAACAACAGACTCAAAGGAGCTGGGAGGTCAGCTGAAGATCAAAATGATATTAATGTCAAAGAAGGGACAAACATAGTAACAGAGACCCAGGTGGTGAGGATGTCAGGTAAATTACAGAATACAATGTATACCCTTAAAACGAGAGAACTGTTAGTAGACTATAAAGTAACCCAAAGAAAGTTAATACTTCACAACTTATCATGAAAATGAACTTCCAGCAGAACAAGCAAACATGAAAACTAAAAAGAAACCGACAAGAAATAGCACAAAAAACACAAACCCAACACAAGAAGGCATGCAGAACAAAAGAACGAACAGCCCTACCAAAAAAGTAACATAATGGCAGCAATCAATTCATACTTATCAATAATTACATTGAATGTCAATGGAATGAATGCACCAGTGAAGAGACAGTGACAGAGTGGATAAGAAAACAAGACCCTTCAATATGCTGCCTGCAAGAGACACACCTTACACACAAAGACAAAAACAGACTAAAAATTAAAGGATGGAAAAAAATATACCAAGCTAACTGCAACAATAAACAAGCATGAGTGGCAATACTAATCTGACAAAGTAAACTTTAAGAGTGTCTTTAAAAGAGAAAGTGATGGAGACCCTGAAAAGAACAACTCCTTTGAAGAACTCCTTTGAAGTACTTATATGGGTGTCTTTGATCTTTCTTTTTTTTGTTTGGTACCTCAGATACTGCCATAAGGTAGGGATACACAGCTGATTGTTGTTAATTGAGTAATAAGTATATTTACAATAATGAAGGGGAGGGAATAAAAACACCTCATAGGATTTGGTTCCTTATTTTGGAGGCTTAGGGTCATGGTGTCATGGACCATTCCAGTTAATTGGCTTAAAAGCATGGTTTAGTGCTTCTATTCTGTGTCCTAGCTTGTTGTGTAGTGCGTAGGCTAGCACACAGCCATGCAACAATTGGCCTCAGTCACTTGGAGCAACAGAGGCAGAAGGAGATTCAGAAATAGGAAGAGGCTGTGAAATGGAGACCTGGTGTAGCAATGTAGGATAACTACCGGATTGCTAACCTAGCCACTCCTTAGGAACCCTATACAGGGTCGCCATGAGTTGGAACCAACTAGATGGCACTTAACAACAGCAATATAGGAATATGTGGCTAATTGCTTCAATAAACAGCTGGGTTCTTGGCTGTGAGACCAAAACTGGATTACCATTGCTGGTCATTTTGATCAAAGATTCTATAAAAGAACCCTGATCAAAAAGGTAAAATGCAGAACAGAATTTGGAATACTCATGGACTCCAGACTTCCTGGAGCCATGAAGACTAGCTGAGCACCTGAAATTATTGCCTTGAGAGAGTCTAAGCCTTGAACCAAAAACAGCCTCTGCATTCTTCTTAAAACCAAACAGTAGTTTCACTAAAATAGTAGAAAAAACGTCTGCCTTGATGAGTATGCTTTTAAGAACTCTGGGCTCAATTTGACAACAGGAACCCCAGGGGGCACTGCGTTTATGTTAATGGGGGAGGAACAACTTAGGAAAGGAGAGTGAGTGGTTGCACAACTGGAAGAATGTAATCGATGTCACTAAATGGTACTTGTAGAAATGGCTGAACTGGTTTATGTTTTGCTGTGTATATTCTTAACGACAAGGCAAGGTAAACTATGAAAAAGTATGGTGCCAAATGGTGGTTTTTAGAACAGTTCGAATGTGGCGTTCACCAGAGAAACAACAGCTAAATGATATTATTGTCATAAAATAGTGAGGGCCATATTGATATAAACAAACTTGAGTGTGATGTGCAGAACTTGTACAAAATATGCTTTGTTCCCTTTTTCCATTTCCGGGTAGTAATGGTCTAAAATACAAATTTTAAAACCACATTTGAACAGAGAAGTCTTGGTGAAACTCATTTTAAATTCAGTTTACCAACACATTTATAGGATTTTATTTTCTTTAGAGGCAGAGAATTTTAGGGACTTCTTATATCTTGCTGTAGCACTGTTGGATAAACACTAGACTGCAAATTATACGGTCAGTGGTTCAAACCCACCAGCCACTCCTGAAACTCTGTATAGGGTCGCTATGAGTCAGAATTGAATAGATGGCTCTAACAACTACTATATCTATAATGGAATCCTGACTGTTCCAGCTAAGATATTTTCTAAATGACTTTACTTTAGATGAGTAACTATTTCATAATGATGACATTCCAGTATGTTCCTTTTTCTTCAGATTCCCATATACCCTGGACTTTTTGTCCCTTTGTATCAATTTCTTATTTTTAATGTTAAGTGCTATCAAATTAGTTCCAGTTCATAGCGATCCTGTATGGTGTTCCTGAGGAGCAGCTGGTGGGGTTTAAACTGCCAACTCAGTGGTTTGCAGTCCAGGGCTGATCCCCAGTGCTAAAATTTAAAAACTTAACTGAAGCTTTTTGGTATCTGAAATTTCCTGGGCATATCTTTTTTTTTTAACTCATAATTTTTTATTTTTTTTAGTTTTACATTCATTTTATCATATATCGTCTCATTGCCATGGTTACAATCCCCTCCATGCCATCCTTCCCCCGTACCCACCAGGTCTTCAGCACGTAGTCGCTCTCCCTCTCTGGATCTAAACTTTCCAGCTGCTCCATCGCTCCATGTCATCATCTCTGGCTCCATTTCAGGCATCACTGCTTCTCTGGGTAGGGTCCCACTCTCTGCTCTTCTCCCTTGATGGTCCTAGGAACCTCCGCTCCTAGACTGAAAACTTAATCACTCCCCTCCTTGCTATAAAACGTCTGTCTTTACATTTTCGACCCTCACAATTAGTCCTGATAACAATTATTCACTGTTGTATCACAAGAGACCCGTCTGCATTTCATTGCATCAGTCCCACCTAGTCAGATTGAGTACTACTCAGTGGAGATTCTACCTTCCTCCAGGCCCTCTGGATCTAGGTTCCTTCTTGAAAGCTTGTAAGCCACTCATTTCTTTCCTTTGTAGCCCCTCGACCCCCTTTGGGTAGCCAATGTCCAAGTTGCCCATCTCTGTCTACTCTGTGTGTGGAGGGGGTGGGAATGATTCTTGCTGTAAGGATTTGTTCCCTCTTTTGAGCTACTGCTTCCATAGGTGTAGGTCAAGATCATCAAATTGTATGAGAATACTTTTTTGGTTTTTTTCCCCTCTTCTTTTTACTTCTGGTTGAGCTCTGATCATCCAGTCACTGCAGCCAGAATAAGTGGGTATTATCTGCAAGTGTGGGTGTTCTTATGCATATGCCCTCTCTTCTTATCAGCTGGATGCTTCACTCTCCACTGTAGTCGTCTGTGGCTATGTCACTGACTCTGGTCCCAAGAGTCCCCAGATCTTGCCACACTGCTGGCCAACCAGGTCTTCACCCAGGTTCACAGAAGTCTATTGAACGTTGTAGGGCTTACCTGGGCATATCTTTTGATGGAAGATGTTACTTACTTGAATCCCTCAAAGAAAGAAGTATGTTCTGTTGTGACAAGGGACTTGGTTATACAGGTGCATGCCTTAATGAAAACTCATCAGATTATGCATTTAAGATCTCTTCATTGTATATAAATTTATCCAGTAGTGTTTTTTTGTTTTGTTTTGTTTTTAAAGCTAGGAGCAAAGAACACTGTTCAGTCAGGTTTATTTTCATACAGTTTTTTCAGGTAGGCAGGCCTGAAAAACACTGTGGGTAGAACAGACCCAAATAGTTACTCTCTTATAAGATCGTATATGAACTGGGTGACTTCTCATTTCCTAAATTAAATTTAGATCTTTGTTTCCATGGTGAAGAGTTGATTTCAGAGTCTGTATAAAATTATTGACTGCATAGAGGTGGATTGAGCACAGAAAATTTGGAAACTAAAATTTAAATATGTAAGGTAGGAAAAATCAGTGCCATTCCAAAATGAATATAATTTATCAGATAACCCAAACAGTATACTACCATAGTGTTTAAAACAACTTCTCTATGCTAATTGATTAGATTATAACTTTCTAAACGAATACCTCTTTATAATTATTTGGGGAGAGATTATTGGTGATATGTGGCTTCTTTAGTCTCTTAATTCTTTCGTCCAGTAAGTTGTGCCCACTGATAGCCAGGTTTTTAACTACATTTGTGGTTTTATTTAATAGTTTTGAGTAACAGTTTTAGAACACTGTAATCTATTCACCATATTCTACTTTTTGTACAACTGTATTTCTTTAAAAGCTTATCAGGTATTTTGTGTTTGTCTTTTACATTCTTCAGGATGCACAGACAATCAGGACATTAACTCTCATCTCAAAAACAATTCAAACTTTGGGAAGCTGGGGGAGTCTGTCCAAAAGCAAGGTAAGTTTTTACATTCCTTACCACATACCTCAATATTGCTGTACCCTTCACCCTCACTCCCTCACTGCAAATTTAAAACAAAGCAAAGAAATAAACAAATGTAATAGCTGTCTCAGGTAGATAACTTACTTGTTACAGAGGATTATTTCCTCTCAATTTATATCATAATATAGATACATAAGAGGAGAAGCGAGCCTAGTAAGAAGATGGCAGGGGCTGTGTTTATGTGCTTATCTGTGCTGTAATCATAGCTCCAAACCCCATGAATAAATTATTAATACCTTTTTTGGTTTAATCCTCAGTTTGAAAATGCAGTCCGTTGTATTTTTATTTCCGTACTTAACATATATAATTCCTGTGTTCTTTTCTTAGTCAAGTTTCAAAGAGACATTCATGTGTGAGTTTTTCAAAATGTTTCAAGAAGAAGGATATGTTATAGCAGTTAAGAAGGTATGCTCTTTTTACTCTAAATATATTAAACATTTCTTGTCATGTAACATTTGGGGAAGTAAACATTCTGTGTTGAACATAGAGAATGCAAAAGTATACTTGTTTATTGAATTATTTCTCCCCAACATCTTCACATTTTATGTTATTCTGTTATTCCTGGAAGTTAATTCTTAGTTTACACACACACAAAAAATTCGTGTTTAAACTGTCCATCAAATATAAAAAAGCTCTCCTGACCAAAATAACTAAGGGAAAGACGGAGAAGATTCAAATAACACAGATAAAAAATGAAATAAGTGACATTACAACAGAACCAAATGAAATTAAAAAGGTTTATACCAGAATATTATGAAAAACTGTACTCCCAACAAATTTGAAAACCTAGAATAAATGACCATATTTCCAGAAACACATTGCCAACCTAAACTAACATAGGCAGAGGTAGAACATTTGAACAGACTCATAAGCCAAAAATAAAAAAATTCAGAGGTCATTAAAAAACAAAAACCTCCCAACAAAAAATTAAAACCCTGGTCCAGCTGGCTTTAGAGAATTCTATCAAACATTCAGAGATGGGCTGACACCGATTCTATAGAACGTAGAAAAGAATAAATACTTGAAAATTCATTTAGGAAACAAGTATATGACCATCCACTTGTAGAGAGTTGATCTGTGACAAAGGACTTTTGTTGTAATGTGCAATGGAGTCGGTTCTGACTCACAGTGACCCTGTATAGGGTTTTCAAGGAGCAGCCTTTGGGTTTGAACTATCAACCTAGTGACTGAAAGCCATTAAATGGAAAAGAGATAGTCTTTTTAACAAAAGATGCTGTCAAAACTGGATATCTATTTGCAGAAAAACAAAGCAGAATCCATATCTTACATCATGGACTAAAAATAAGGACACATTTAGGGATCCTAATTTATAGCCTAGTCTATCAGCATAACTAGAAACACACAAACAGAAGGTAAACTATATGACAGTGACCTCCTAAAATTCAATTACTTAATCACATTAAAGGACTTCTCCAAAAGAGTATATGATGGGCAACAACATATCTGGCAAAAGACTTAGCTCTGAAATTTGTAGAAAACCTCAATACCTCAACAACAAAAAGACAATCCAGTGTAAAAATGGGTAAAGGACATGAACAGACACTTGACCAAAGAAGACAATCAGATAGCCAACAAATATATGAAGAGATGCTTGCAATTATTAGATATTAGAGAAATGCAAGTAAAAACTACAATGAGATGTTATCTCTTCCCAGCAGTAATAACACAACTAGAAAGCAACAAATGCTGCCTGAGTTAGGGAGATTGGAACTCTCATACAATGCTGGTGGGATTGTAAAATGCTACAACCACTATGGAAAACAGAATGGCGTTTTCTTAACGAGTTGGAGATACTATATGATCCAGAAATACCACTATTAGGTATATATCCTAGAGAAATAGAGTTGGGATACGAATACATATATGCACATACATGTTCATTGTAGCACTATTAACAATAACAAAAAGATGGGAATAACCTAAGTGCCTTCAAGACAATGACACTAACTATCCCTCCCATAGCACTCTCCTCTTCTTCTGGAATGATAATTCAGTGCAATGGCCACACACAACTCAGCCTCCATACTTAAACAATTAAGGGGTTTATAGGGAAGTTAATAGTCATTAAGACAACAAAAAAGGAAAAGGTCAAAATGGATGTCAGAAGAGACTCTGAAACTTGCTCTCCAGCGTAGAGATGCTAAAGCAAAAGGAAGAATTGAAGAGGAGGTCCAAGAGCTGAACAGAAAATTTCAAAGATCAGCTGGAGAAGATAAAACCAAATGCTATAATAAAATATGCAAAGATTTGAAATTAGAAAACCAAAAAGGAAGAACATGGTCAGCATTTCTCAAGCTGGGGGAACTGAAGAAAAAATTCAAGCCTCGACTTTCATTATTGAAAAATTCTCTGGGCAAATTATTGAATGATGAAGAATGCATCAAGAAAAGATGGAAGGAATACACAGAGTCATTGTACCAAAAGGAAATGGTTAATGTTCAGCCATTTCAAGAGGTATCATATGAACAAGAGCCAATGATACTCAGGGAGGAAGTCCAAAGTGTATTGAAGGAATTGGCGAAGAACAAGGCACCAGGAATTGATGGAATAAAAATGGAAATCTTTCAAGAAAGTGAGGCGGCGCAAGAGGCACTCACTCATCTCTGCCAAGAAATTTGGAAGACAACTATCTGGCCGACTGATTGGAAGAGATCCATATTTGTGCCCATTCCAAAGAGAGGTGACCCAACGGAATGCGGAAATCATCGGACAATCTCTTTGATATCTCAAGTAAGTAAAGTTTTGCTAAAGGTAATACAGAAACGGCTACAATCATACATTGACAGAGAACTTCCAAAGGTTCAAGCTGGATTCAGAAGAGGCCGTGGAACGAGAGATATCATTGCTGATGTCCAGTGGATCTTGGCTGAAAGCAGAGAATGTCAGAAAGATGTTTACCTATGCTTTATTGACTACGCAAAGGCTTTCAGTTGTGTGGATCATGACAAGCTATGGACAACATTGACTTACAGAACACTTAATTGTACTTCTGAGAACTCTGTACCTGGACCAAGAAGCAGTTGTTCGAACAGAGCATGGGGACACTAAATGTTTTAAAATTGGGAAAGGTGTGCGACAAGGTTGTATTCTTTCACCATACTTATTCAACCTGTATGCTGAGCAAATAATACGAGAAGCTGGGTTCTATGAAGAAAAACGTGGCTTCAGGATTGGAGGAAGACTCATTAACAACCTGCGATATGCAGATGATACAACCTTGCTTGCTGAAAGTGAAGAGGACTTGAAACATTAACTGATGAAGATCAAAGAACACAGCCTTCAGTATGGATTGCATCTCAACGTCAGGAAAACAAAAATCCTCACCACTGGACCAATAACATTCTTATCAATGGAGAAAAGATTGAAGTTGTCAAGGACTTCATTCTTCTTGGATCAACTATCAACACTTGCGGAAGCAGCAGTAAAGAGATCAGACGACGTATTGCATTAGGCAAATCTGCGGCACAGGAACTTTTTAAAGTGTTGAAGAGCAAAGATGTCACCTTGAGGACTAAGGTGCGCCTGACCCAAGCCGTGGTATTTTCAATAACCTCATATGGATGTGAACACTGGACAGTAAATAAGGAAGATCGTAGAAGACTTGATGCCTTTGAATTGTGGTGTTGGAGGAGAATACTAAAAGTGCCATGGACTGCCAAAAGAACTAATAGATCTGTCTTGGAAGAAGTGCAGCCAGAGTGCTCCTTAGAGGCCAAGATGGCTAAACTTCGTCTCTCATACTTTGGACATATTGTCAGGAGGAAACAGTCGCTGCAGAAGGATGTCATGCTGGGTAAGATGGAGGGTCAGAGAAAAAGAGGAACACCCCCAACGAGATGGATCGGCCAGGTGGCATCATTGATGGCGTCAAGTGTGGCAGCGGTAGTGAGGTTGGCCCAGGATCGGACGTTTTTCATTCTGCTGTGCATGTGGTCGCTATGAGTCAGTTCTGACTCGATGGCACCTGACAACAACAACAATAGGTTACAATTCAGGGCACCGTTCTGCCAGTCAAGATAACCTCTCTGCTGGTCCTCGACCCTTAACCTGACCTCTTCCCTGCCCACCAATGTTACAAAATTGGTTTAGAGCTGCTGATAAATGCTCACAGAACATACCACTCCTCTGTAAGCCTTATCCTGAAGGCCCTCGGAATTTGCTGAAGTTAATTCAAAATAGACTGCAATAGGAAACTGCCAGAAACTTAAGCCAGATTCAGAGGATATGGAACTAGGGATATCGTTACTATGTCAGATGGATCTTGGCTGAAAGCCAAGAGAATACCAGATGATTGTGTGGATCATGACAAGTTATAGATAACATTGGGAAGAATTGTTATTCCAGAACACTTGATTGTGGTCATGAGGAACCTGTACATAGATCAAGAGGCAGTCATTCTGACAAAACAGGGAGATACTGAATGGTTTAAAATTGGGAAAAATATGTACTTATTCATTCTGTTTGCTGAGGAAATAAATCCAAGACGCAGGATTATATGAAAAGTGTGACTTCAGGATTGGAAGAAGACTTTATTAACAACTTCAATGTGCAGATAACACAACCTTGCTTGCTGAAAGCAAAGATGACTTAAAATACTCACTGATGAATATCACAGAACACAGTCTTCAGTATGGGTTGCAACAATTGTAGAGAAAACAAAAATCCTCACCACAGTAAAAACATTTAAGTGGAGAGAAGATTGGAATTCTCAGAGACTTCATTCAGCTTGGGTACACAGTCAACACTCTTGGAAGCAGCAGTCAAGAAATCAAAGTATTGTACTAGGCATATCTGCTGTACAAGATCTCTTTAAAGTGTTCAAGAGCAAAGTTACCAGTTTGAGGACTAAGGTGTACTTGACCTAAACCATCGTATTTTCATTTGCTTCATATGTTTGTGAAAGTTGGCCAGTGAATAAGAATGCTCATAGAAGAATTAATGCATTGAATCATGGTGTTGGAGAAGAATAAACTGCCAGAAGAACAAACAAATCTGTGTTGGAAGACGTACAACTAGAATGTTCCTTAGAAGCAAGGATGGCAAGTCTTTGTCTCTTATACTTCAAGCATATTATCAGGAGGGACCAGACCCTGGAGAAGGAAGGACATCATGCTTGGGAAAGTGGAGGGTCAGCGTAAAAGAGGAAGACTCTCAACAAGAGACACTAATTGCCATTTTGAGCCATATAATTCAGGAAGATTCCCTACAAGAGGTACTAAATGCCATTTTGAGCCAGATAATTCATGGTTGTGTGGAGCTGTACAGGATGCATGCCTGGCATCTACCTATTAGATGCTAGTAATATTCCCCAACTTGTGACTATCAAAAATGGCTGCAGACATCACCAAATCTTTCCTAAGGGGCAAAATTGCCTCCAATTTAGA